GCCTCGCCGCGCGTCGGGGCGGCCCCGCCGGACGTGCCGGGCCTGCCGGGATCCCGGGAAACGCTTTGCTGGCACCCGGAGCGGGGGAGAGCTCCCAAAACGAAGGCCCCAGGTGTCTGGTGGTCGGTAACGTGTCTCCTGTGCGGCGGCGGCCGGCAGGGATCTGTTGCCTTGTGTCGGCCACCGCCCCCGTCAGTAACTAGAACGTGCACTTCAAGCTTTAACTGTTCTGCGCCCTCTTCTCTGTTCCGTGTCGATTGGATCCACGAGCGTGTATTTTCATTTGCTCTGTGCCTTGCCAGAAGGAGAAAAAGGAGAAGAAATCTAAACGTCGGGACAAGTTTCAGAGGGGAAAGACTCAGTCAGATGAAAGCGAGGAATCGGATGAAGAGCGTTATGCCCCGAAACCCAAGAAATCAAAGAGCGTCAGTAAACAGAACGGTCACACGAAAGAGGAAAGCCTGGAGAAATCGAGATTGTCCTCCTTTAGCAGCAAATCCTCCCGCAGAAGCCGACAGAGTAGTTCCAGTGAAACGTCAAGTGAGAGCGAAAGCGAGAGCGAGCAGGATCAGGTAAGGCAAATAACGGGTTTTAGTCATAAAGGTGTGTTATTAATTCCTGCATTGTAACACGGCCAGATTAAGAAGGGGTTGTATTTCTTTCTAATCAGTCGAAAGTGCTGTAAATTTTCAAGATTTAAAGTTTTTGAATTGTGGTAGTGTTGGATTAGTGCATCATGGTTTCCTCACTTCAGCAGTCTGGTGCTGTGGTAGCTATTGCTGGACAGACAGGTTGTACTGAGGTGGAACTTTAATATGATTCAGCACCACGAGGTGTATGTGAATTTTGGGGTTGTTCTGTAGAGAGCCAGGAGCTGGGCTCGGTGATCCTTGTGCATCCTTTCTAGCTCATGATATTCTAGGATTCTAATTAAGAGTTTTCAGTTTTGGTTTGAGTGTTTTGCATTTACTGTGCTGTTAGCTGTGAAACAGCCTTAACCTACAGATTACTTTTCCTAACTTTGTCCAAGTTGGGAATATGATGGTAAAACAAAGAAGGCTCTTTAGCTGCAGCTGTGACACTGGCACTGAAGAATGACACCATTGCCTATGCTCAATTTACTTGAATTTATTTGAATTTACTGACAGTCGTGTGATATTCATGAGGAATCTTACCTGATTTACTGTTTACCTAACAGGAGTTGACTGGAGAACAGAAAGAGGGTGCTTTCTCCAATTTTTCCATTTCCAAAGAAACTGTCCAGCTTCTTCAAGGTAAGCTTCTTGGCAAGGTGTGACCATAGAATGTCAGTGATCTCTGTCGTGTTTTTATGCTCAGCACCCTGGATCAAGGCATAAGCTTTGAGATGTGCTCTGCTTGTGCCTATACTAGCATGGATGCTCTGCAGAAGACAACAATTACCTGCTCTAAATACACCTTTGAACACAAATTTTCCTGTTTGCAGTAAAATTCTAAATGGCATGAACCAAAGAAAAATATTGATGTGTGATAAAATTTCAATTAAAGGTTATTTTGGTGTGAATAAAAGAAAACCAATTATATTTAGTATCTCTGACATTTGACATGCAAATGATTTAGTATCATTTGACATTTATATGTGAATTAGTATGAATTAAAAGACCAGAAGGGGCTTTGAGATATGTATTATTTGAAAGGAGGAGATTTTCACACATATTTGAGGAGTGTTGCATTAATAAAGGCACAGTACTGCAAGTCTTTCATAAGGGCTAATAACTTCCTCTGTCCTAGCTAGCTGCCACCCACTGTGTCTGGTGGTGTGAAGTGGGAGAATAAAATGGACAGTCCCAGGGCAGTCTTTGCAGATGACTCATCTGATCAAATAAATCAATGGAGGTGATGATACAGTTCTGACTTTAGAGTTGGTAGAAGTTCTTGGAATAAATTCCACTTAAGAGTGGAAAGAACACTTGTAAAATGACCATAATTAAGGAAATCTCTTGAAATTGTCACAGCTCGAGGAGTGACATACCTGTTCCCTGTGCAAGTGAAGACCTTCAACCCAGTGTATTCTGGCAAAGATGTCATTGCTCAAGCACGAACTGGAACAGGGAAAACATTCTCTTTTGCTATTCCCTTAATTGAAAAGCTTCAGGGAGAGTCACAGGAAAGAAGAAGAGGCCGTCCACCAAAGGTAACTGTGCCTGGCTAGAATGGTGATTTTGCTTTATGTCTAAATGATTCAGATTTTTCAGCTGCTGGAGAAGCTCTTCAGGTCTGTGCCAGGGGTAAGCTAACCCACATTAAAGGTGATTTGAAAGATGTGTTCACTGGGCTTTGCCTGCATCCTGCGCTACCTCCCAGCCCCTGATGAAGAACGAAGAGCACAACAGCTCTATTTACTTGTCAGTTCCATTTCTTGCCACAGGGAGACCAAAACTACAGGTGGTCAACGTGTCCCTAATTTAATTTTGGCCAGTCACGTTACCACTTCAGGGCCAGTGGCTACTGGATGCTTCTTTTTCTCCTAAATTGCTAACAGATTAGTTACTAATTGTAGCTTGACAGCTTGATAAAAGCTGTCTACTCAAACGTGTTTCTTTCTGAAACATGTAAACAGTGGGAGGTTTTAAAAATAGATTTCGTTTTCACTAGGAACACCACCAAATGTTGAAGCTTCTGCTCCAGAGAATGCAGATTCATTATGAGCTGTGATCATTCTGCTAAGGCACACCAGGTGTGGTTTTCCACTGAATTCTTATCGTGCCTCGAAAAAAAAATAGACAGGCCAAAGCTGAGCCTGTCCTCATTAATAATTTTTGTCAGTTTGTTTCATCTTGTCACCCATCTCACTGATTACCTGAAGTGCCTTCCAAGACTAGTACTAGCAATTTTGTGTGCATCTGCCCATCACATTGCTTGGCTGAGTTAGAGTGCTGTCTCTAGATTTGGCACAGCCTTTTGGAGAAGGAAGCGCTTTCTTCGAGGGAGCTGTAAGCCTTATAAAAGATTCCAGACCTCACTCTGCCATAATACAGTGCTGTGTGCTTTTTGGTAATGGGTTTTAATGCTGAAAGAGGTGACAGGACAAGGATATTAAGGTTCCTTTTGTGAAGTGACTGACTGCCAGGTTGGAGAGCAGCAATCACGTTTCAAACGCAATTAGTTAACCTGCCTGCAGGGAGGGCTGCATGTTGGGAAGAGAGGATGGTTCCTTGATTGCCTCTGCAGGGATATGGATTAGCACAGCGGCTCTGCAGACTGAACATATGTTTCCCTGAGCCACAGGGAAGCTGAGAGACAGCTGACAGCCCTTTCTCACACCTTCTCACAGGACTGTGAAGCAGTACTGAGCAGGTGCAAAAGCCTTTTGTTACCCGCATCCTTCAGTCTTGTATTCAAACAGCGTATGTGCATGTAGAAGACAACTTGTAGCTGCTCTGTTCAGGAGCTAAAGTTAAATAAGATTTAAGTCTCTCCTTTCCTGTTTAAAAAGAAGTTAGCCTGTCTTAAATGAGTATATGTTAAAGGAGTTTAATGATGTAACAAGAGACTTGAGTAAGATAATTATTTAAAACAGATTTTTTTTTTTTTTTAATTTTACAAAGTGTCGGATCTAAATCAACAATCAGAAGTGTAGTGGTTTCTTGGCAGAAGCCATGCTGAGAAAACATCTGTTTTATCTTTTTTTCTGTGCAGGTTCTAGTTCTTTGTCCAACGAGAGAGCTGGCAAATCAGGTTGCCAAAGATTTCAAGGACATCACAAGGAAGCTGACAGTAGCTTGTTTTTATGGAGGAACTCCCTATAATGGACAAAGTAAGTGACTCTTAGGACTAATAGTTGAAATATTGATTGACTGCTATATTTAAGAAATGCAGTTGGGTCTTTCTAAGCACACACTTACAGCTCAAGAGCTTGAGACTATTCATGGGAAATTCAGCAGTTCAAAATGTATCTTCTTAAGGAGATAAATAGCTGTGGCTCTCAGTTATATTCTTGGTGTTACTTATCTACTCTTGTACCTTTAATTAAAGTGAAACAGAGTATATACTGTGTGTATAAACTGTATCTGGGTTTAAGTTCTTGTAAACTCATTTTCTTTAAAAAAGTTTAGCCTTAGAGCTGTGACTGGGTATGTGCTTTTTCATGTGATAAGGAGTATATAGAGGATTTGTAAAGTGGAGAAGAAATTGTTGTGACAGCAGAATTTACTCTCTTGGTGGTTATAAACAAGGAACGAGAATGAGCTCTTTCATTGTGATACATCTTGAGACATTAGGGAGGATTTTGTGTTCCACTGCAGAACCTCAGGGAGGAGTTGATTTCAGTAATTTGGATAGTTAAATAAATAAATTTGTAGAAGTTTTCCAGTTAAAACAGATAATGTGGGAAGAGCTGACTATTTCTAAAGAATATTAAACAAAGCTCATCCTTGCTACTTTAAATCACAGGCAGAGAGAAGGGAGGTAGGTTCTATTTTTTTATTATTTTTTTTTTTCCTTCAGGAAGAGCAGTGATTTTCTAAGTGATTTTTTTCCTCCCAGATTTTCTCTTCCAGTTCATCCTTTGTTCTCACTTTCGTAAGGAGAGTTCTTATGGATGGTTTAAGAGCTGTTTTGTTATTACCACGTGTTTACTGCTTTAGAGAGTGCTCCCTGGTTCACTGCTAACTCTTGTTTTCCCTGTTTACCAGTTGACCTCATGAGAAGTGGCATTGACATTTTGGTTGGGACCCCTGGTCGAATCAAAGACCACCTGCAGAATGGCAAGCTGGACCTCACCAAGGTGAAACATGTTGTACTTGATGAAGTGGACCAGATGCTGGACATGGGATTTGCTGAGCAAGTGGAAGACATTTTACGAGTTGCATACAAGAAGGGTAATCTCAATATTTAAACAAATAGCAGGAAATATTAGTAGTAATTTAGTTAGGTAAAATTCAGGTATAAGGTGACTTTGTTTAGAGATGAGGGAATATTATGTATTGTGAATATATGGGAATCATTCACATAACCTTTGTAAAGCTTAAAGTCCAGTATCTAGGGATCTGTAAATAACTGTCTTTGGCACCTGTCTGAAGTTAGACTTCTTCAAATTGAAGGGAATTAGTTTTTTACCTTTTCCATTGCTTGAAAACACTGGATTTTGTGGCCATAGTACTTTTTTCATAATCTTGAAATTATTTGGAATTTCTAGAACATTTTTTACTGCAGACATCAATAATGCATGAATTAAAAAGCTTGATTGGCTTCTTTATGTTAGGTACATGTATTTAACCTCGTTTTTAATGATCAATTTGTGTACATCTCTGAGGTGAAACGTATGAAGGTTGTGAAGCATTGTTCTGTTTTTTTGTTAAGATTCTGAAGACAATCCTCAGACACTGCTGTTTTCTGCAACTTGCCCACACTGGGTGTATGATGTGGCTAAGAAATACATGAAGTCTAGATATGAACAGATTGACCTTATTGGGAAAAGAACTCAGAAGGCTGCTACAACAGTAGAAGTGAGTAATCTCATGTGAAACGTTTTCAGGCTTTTCCCCCTTTTCTTTCATGCTACAAAAGGTTATCTCTTCCTAAGGTGAATTATCACAGTGATGATGGAAGTTGTTTGGAGATTATTTTTCTGAGCATAAGGCATGTTAAAGCTAGTCAAGGCTTTTCTGGGTTTAGGATGTATCTTCTCACATCGCAGGTAGAGAGAGGATTTTCTTGTCAGTTTTGTGGGTTTTCAGAGAAAAGCAGTATCCAAATGTATCCAAGTTGTAAGCAAAAGGCACACATGAACATCAGCCTGCTGCTTTTAATTTTCCATGGACATTTCAGTTGGCTTCTGGTATTCTGTATACAAGATACTTCTTTTCAAACTTCCCGTAGTATTTCACCTCAGCAGGCCTTTGCTTGCAGTGCTGAGAATACCATATCAAGGAATGTGATACTGCAGGCCTGATTTTCTCTTACTGTGATTATTTTGCTGAACGTTAGACTAATTGTGGTGGGCATAAGGAAAATCCTTATGGATTTTGTATGTTCCAGGATCGTGAGTTAGCACATTTTCCCCATCAGGGAACAGTGTAATTCTTTACTATTCCTGTATTTAACAGTTCCAAATGTATTTTTAAAGGAATCTTAACTTTACACAAGCTAATCGCTGGGGGTTTTTTTCCATAGCATTTGGCAATAGAGTGTCACTGGTCTCAGAGAGCTGCAGTTATTGGAGATGTCATTCAGGTCTACAGTGGCAGCCACGGGAGGACCATTGTCTTCTGTGAGACCAAAAAGGAGGCAAATGAGCTGGCTCTGAATGCTTCAATCAAACAGGTATTTTATCCTGTGTATTAAGTAACAAAACCTCTCAGAGATGTATCAACCCTCTGTTCATACCAGACCTATGCTGGTTTTAAAGACCTATGCTAAGTTTTAAAGAGTTTTGAAGTTGGCCAAGGCATTGGCATTGGCCAAGGTTTTGTGTGTGGTCAGATAGGATTTTACTCTTTTTTGTGGACATGAATCAAAAATTGTAGATAACTATTTTGAAACAGACAAGCATTGCATAGATGGTGCAAATGGTTAATTAGGGCAGAGTTCTCATATGTCACAGTAATTAAATACAGAGCTTAGACACACGTTGCAGTTCTGTTTTTCTGCCATTGTTAAAGGCTTTTGAGGTATATGAATAAAAATTACTGAGTACATATTGTAAGACACCTAAAATATAAATTCAGGTAATTCAGTTCTTCTGTATCTTGCCACACAGTACCTATCAAATACCAAGATGTTGTATCCAAAACTGACCATAAAATGGAGCACTGACTTGGATTTTGGTTTGGTTCTAAAATAATACTGTTTTTCAGGATTGCCAGTCATTGCATGGTGACATTCCTCAGAAGCAGAGGGAGATCACACTGAAGGGTTTTAGAAATGGTTCATTTAAAGTTCTGGTTGCAACCAATGTAGCTGCCCGTGGTCTAGATATCCCAGAAGTTGACCTGGTTGTACAAAGCTCACCACCAAAGGTAGGAGACTGTTAGGTTGGATGTCTTGTAATAATCTGTAGTCTTGTTTTCGAGTAGTGTAGGCTATCAGCTGATGGTATTGACCACACAGAGCTCATTTCATCAGCATTGTGCCTGAGGGACAGAAACCTCCAGATACAAAGAAGCAGTTTCTTAGAGGATTTTTTGGGAGTGTGTCATTCCCTAATATGTTTATAACTTATTTCCTTAAAACATCTCCTTATGAGGCTGTTCAAAGCCTTCCCTTGGAAGCTGGGTATGGTGATGGTGAGGCTGGGAGCAGCGGGAAGAATGATTCTCTTCAGTGGGGGTAAATGTGAGGTATGGACCACAACCGTGAGAACATTATCAGAATTAAGAGGCTTTAAAAGAAACAATGTAAGTTTTCAGTGAATACACTTGCAGTACTGCAGTAACCACACTCAAGTGGATGTGCAGGAGGTTGAATGGGATTTTTGTGGAGGTACACGCATTCCAAATATGTGCAGGTGTATAAAGGTAGATTCATGCTCATGGCTCTTGTTTTCAAGCCATGATTTTTAGACGATTGCGTATTTGGTGGATATTAGTGAAACAATGTTTTCTAATCCAGTTCTCTGATACAGTTACTGTGCATTGTTCAGGCTTAGCTGTAGTGGCTTCTCCAAGTTATGTGGATGCACTGAATTGATGAAATTACAGTGAGGTAGGTAACTCATAAAGCTCTCTGTTTCTGAAGGATGTGGAGTCCTACATCCATCGTTCTGGGCGCACAGGTCGAGCTGGGCGGACTGGGATCTGCATCTGTTTTTATCAGCGAAAGGAAGAATATCAGTTAAGACACGTGGAACAAAAAGCGGTAAAGTTTTCTTCTAATTGCAAGACTCTTAATTTGTTCAATTCCAAGATGCAGTTTTGTGAAGCACCCAGAGGAGGTTCAGGTACCTTGAGGAGGGTGAGTGCAGTGTCAGTTACTGTGGAGCAGGGAGAGCATTGCAGATTTGCAGATTTTAACGCCCACACGTTTTCAGCAAATGCCAGTAAGGTTGTCCTTGTGGAAATGAAAAAAAACTTGCAGTATTTTGGTGTAGTGTTCACCCTGGTTATCATCTGATCAGTGATGTGCATATGTGCAGCTTTCCTGAGAGCTGTTACTTGCATTTTTGCACTTTGTGCGGTGTTCCATATGCTACTTTCCTCGACAATTCTGTGGTGATTTATTCCTGGTACATAAAGCAGTGCTGCATTTAGACAAAGGCTCTGTAATTTATACTTAAATCCAAATCTATCAGACTAAAAGTAGTAATGTAGAATTTGTAGGATTCAAATTTTCCCCAGAAATGTACCAAAATGGTTTCTGTTTTCAGTCTAAGGTCACTGAACCATTTAAACTGTTCTGGTACATAAAAGCCTTTTAAGTGTTACCCATTTTCCTGTAAGCTTAATCTTAAAATTTTCACTAGGAAAAATTGGAAATTAAAAGGTGAAAATTAGAAGAATTGCAGACTTAAATGCTTTTTCTGTTGAAGTTCAATACTGCTTCTTTAGAACTGAATTATTTATGGTCTGCAATTTTTATTTGTCTTTTGCCTTTTAAATTTCAGGGCATTACATTCAAGCGTGTTGGTGTTCCTACCGCAACAGACATAATAAAGGCTTCCAGCAAAGATGCCATGAGGTGTGTCTGGGGGCTCAAGCCCTGTTTTACCTTCCTGCCTTCCTATTTCAGAAGGGTTGTTTGAATTATACTTTACTGTCTCTTTGAGCTTTATGAGCACTGTTGAAATCTTGGACTACTGGGGTTTATTTTTTTTTCTATTCCAGAACCTACTGGTGTATAAATTGTAAATTTCTTTGGCTTTAACTACTTAGGTGCCTGGATTCTGTTCCTCAGACTGCTATTGAGTATTTCAGAGAATCTGCTCAGTTGCTAATAAAAGAAAAGGGACCAGTTAATGCTCTGGCTGCAGCCCTGGCCCATATTTCGGGTGCTACTTCCATTGAACAGCGCTCACTGCTGAACTCAGATGCGGTAAGGAAGGGGGTATGGCTTAATGCTTGTTTTGAAACTGGAAAGAAACAGCACACCTCTTTGTTGTCTGAATAGAGAATTATTTGTCTCATGACCATTTTGTTTGAAAACTATACTTAAGCCACTAGGATCTACTGATTTTGTTCAAAGCAACAGTATAGTGGCTGTAAAGATACTTGATGCCCTGTAACAGTACCTACTTGAAGATTTAATTAATAAACTGTAAATTAGCAGGTTTCTCCTTTCTGATATATGTGCTGAAGCCTATTCCTCTGCCCAAGTGGAACATGCTCCATTTCTTTTTAGGGATTTGTTACAATGATTCTACGCTGCTCTGAGGAAATAAGCAACATGAGCTATGCCTGGCGAAGACTGCGAGAGGTGTTGGGTGATGATGTTGATCGGAAGGTGAACAGAATGTGTTTCCTCAAGGGGAAAATGGTATGTTTTTGTTTTGTTTCTTTGATAATGGGCTTTTCTGCTTGCAGCCTTTTCTTAGCAGTTGTCAGGGGAGCTATTTGGTCTTTTTCTCTATTCCAGGCACTCTTGGTGATGGGTTTCAATCTGTTTTTTTTAGTGCTTAGGGCTCTGCTGACATGCTCAGGAGGTAGGATAATGCACGTCTATGGGGATAGCAGAACAGGTGAAAGGTAGGAAGTGTGTTAACTCTGCCTTAATGACAAAACAGAAAGGCATTCCTTAGGACAGTCAGCTCTGGTAGTGCCTGCCTGTCAGGTGTAGATTTGTGGGCTCGTTTCTAGTTGCACTCATTTAAAACGCTTACCTTGTATGCATTAAAATTATTCTTTCTTTTTAGGGTGTGTGCTTTGACGTTCCTGTGGCAGACCAAAAAGAAATTGAGGTATGTTCACTGCAAATTCTGGGTACAGCAGGCTGAAGGTGAAGCTGGATGGACTGGGTTAGATTGAAAATATTATGCTTTATCCTGCCTTTCTTAGTGGCAAAAAGGATGGCTTGGAAGGAATTGAAGAACAGAAAAAGCTCACAGTGTTTCTTTTCTAAGGCATTCCTCTGTGACCAAAAGTCTGTAACTTGAACCTTTTGCACTGAGGAAAGTGGTGCTGGATTCATCTTTGTAGGCAGCAAGCTTTATTCCCCTTTTCTCTATTCCCCACCTCCCATTTTCACCCAGAATTTTCTCCACAGTGAAGTGAATTCAGAAAAAGTATTTTACTTTTGCCAACCTTAGTATTACTGTGGCAAAGTTACTGATCCCTTCAGTTAGAAGCTTGAATCCCATATATTGGCTCAAGATTTTTTCAGTTGAGCAAATTTAATAATTATTATTACATACTCTGTATTTGTATTCCTAGAATTTGACATGCTATGTCTGACTTCATTCCGATAGGCAAGGTGGGAAGATTCCAAACATTGGCGTTTGTGTGTGGCAACTGAATTACCAGAGCTGGTAGAATCCATACGAGGAGGAGGAGGAGGAGGAGGGAGTGGTGGAGGAAATGGACGAAGCTTCTCAAGCTCCAGGAATGGTCGGCGTGGTGGCTCTGGTAGAAACAGATTCAGGGCCAGAGGCCAGAAACGAAGTTTCAGCAGAGCGTTTGAACATTAACTTCAACAATCCAGAAGTGAGAAAAAAATGGGACTGAAGTATTTTATATTACATTACACTAGGCTGTTCCTGTGTGTTTGTACCATTGGGGAAAATACTTCATAAAGGTTTTTTTTTTGTCAGTACTACTTTGCTCATAAGCGATGTTAATTTTAAAAAACGTGCAAAGCAAAAAAACCCAAAAAATCTGCAAGAAAAAATGTTTCTTTTGTTTCTCATATTGCTCTTTGAATCTTTCCATAATATGTCTGTTGCGTTCAAAACTGTAGCCTGGTTCACTGTATAATATATAGATCTGAATTGCTGCTCAAACCTGTAAATTTTCTGATAAAACTAAATATTGTTTTACAACTTCATATTTTGTTGTCACGTATTTGAAGCAGTATTTTGCAGGTGGAGATGTAGGAAGGTGGCAGATTGGGGAGCGTGGCAGCAGGAGCCCTTGAAAGTTTCAAAAATAAATCCATTTGGTTTTTATTTTGTGGATTTGTAATGAAGCTCTTCTTTCCCTAAAACTTACTAGTTCTTAGTTTCTGTCCCAAATGGGACTCTCCTCATAAAAAGGGGTAGGAAAGGCAGTTTCCAAAGTTTGAGGGGAGGCCCCCTGAGGAGCGACAACTGTGAGGGTGACCCATAACCCTATTAGGGTGTTGCAAAATGTGGAATATGTCAAGATTATTATAGGTAAGGATGTTTTTCGATGTAAAATCTAATCAGTGGAACGGATAGCAGCAGCCCTTGCTCAAGGACATCCTGGAGCTAACAAGCTTTAAGGATGAAGTAAATCAGAATCTTGATCTATGCCTACGTATATGTTGTTGGGTTGGTGAAATAATCGGGATCCATGTGTCCTATGGGTGAACTGTTTTTTAGTATTTTAACTAAAAATCGCGGCTATGGGTCAGAAAGACGCCTACCTAGGGGGTCGAAACCTTCTGAAAGGAACCTGGAGGGGCTGTGCTGGGCTCGCTCCTAGCCCTGCATTTCGGTGTATGAACCATGGCGCCCGATGGTGGCGCTGCACTTGTGCAACGCCACCGAGCGCTGAAATCAGCACGGTCTCTCTCGGGTGTGTCATTATCGGCCTGTGGAACGAGCCTGGCTCCGTGGGCAAGGAGGGGAGGTGCGGGACCGGCGTTCTGTTGAGCGGAGCAGGACGCGAGCTCCGTGAGGGGCTCATGGTGGCGGAAGGGGCCGGCGCGGCGGAAGGGGCGGGCCGGGGCGGGTAGGGCGCGGCGGCCGCATGGGGGCCGTGTGGGCTCGGGCGGCGCGGCTC